AATGTTGGAGAGGCTGAGGAGAGACTGGAACACTTATACACTGCTGGTGGGAATGTAAAATGGTACAACCACTTTGGAAATCGATTTTGTGCTTCCTTAAAAAAGCTAGAAATAGAAGTTCCATAAGATCCAGCAATCCCACTCTTTGAAATATATCCTAGAGAAATAAGAGCCATCACATGAATAGACATATGCACACCCATGTTCATTGCAGCATTGTTCACAATAGCAAAAAGATGGAAACAACTTATGTGTCCATCAACGGATGAATGGATAAACAAATTATGGTATATTCACACAATGGAATACTATGCAACGATAAAGAACAATGATGAATCTGTGAAACAACTCATAACATGGATGAATCTGGAAGGCATTAGGCTGAGTGAAATTAGGCAGTCGCAAAAGTGCAAATATCGTATGATAAGAACTCAAGAAATGGTTTAAACAGAGAAGAAACATTCTTTGATGGTTATGAGGGTGGGGAGGGAGGGAGTGGGGTATTCACAAACTAGATAGCAGATAAGAATTATCTTAGGTGAAGGGAAGGACAACACACACTACCGGGGAAGTCAGCACAACTGGACTAAACCAAAAGCTAAGAAGTTTCCTCAATACAGCCAAACACTTCGAAGGACAGAGTAGCAGGGGCGAGGGTCTGGGGACCATGGTTTCAGGGGACAACTAGGTCAATTGGCACAACAAAGTTTATTCAGAAATGTTCTTCATCCCACTTCGATGAGTGGCATCCGGGGTCTTAAAATCTAGTGAGCAGCCATCTAAGATACATCAATTGGTCCCAATCCACCTGGAGCAAAGAAGAATGAAGAACACCAAAGACACAAGGAAAATATTACCCCAAGAGACAGAAAGGGCCACGTAAACCAGAGACTCTATCAGCCTGAGACCAGAAGAATTAGATGGTGGCCGGCTAACACCAATGACCACCCTGACAGGGAACACAACAGAGAGTCTCTGTCAGAACAGGAGAAAAGTAGGTGTACAAATCAAATTCTAGGAGAACGACTAGACTTAAATATCTGACTGAGACTGGGGTGACCCCAGAAGACATGGCCCTCCCGGACTCTCTGTTAGCTCAGAACTGAAACCATTCCTGAAGCCAACTCTTCAGATAAAGATTAGTCTGGACTACAGGACATAAAATGATACTCGTGAAGAGAGTGCTTCTTAGCTCAAGTAGACACATGAGACTAAATGGGCAGCTACTGTCCGCGGGTGAGATGAAAAGACAAAAAGCGACGGGAGCTGGTTGAATGGACATGGGATATCTAGGGTGGAAAGGAGAAATGTGCTGTCACATTATAGGGAGAGCAGCTAAGGTCACATAGCAATGTGTGTATAAACTTTTGTATGAGAAACAGACTTGAACTGTAAACTTTCACTTAAAGCACAATAAAAAAATGTATATATATATATACACACGAGACCAAATGGGCAGCTCCTGTCCAAAAGCAAGATGAGAAGGCAGGAAGGGACAGGAAAACTGGACGAATGGACACTGGGAACCCAGGGTGGAAAGGGGAAGGGGAGGGTACTGTCACATTGTGGGGATTGCAACCAATGTTACAAAACAATATGTGTATAAATTTTTGAATGAGAAACCAACCTGAGCTGTATGCTTTCACCTAAATCACAATAAAATCAAATAAATAAAAATATATTTATTGAGTGCCCCCCCCCCAAAAAAAAATCAAAATTCTTGTTTTTCCTACCAAAAATTCAGTGGTTCAGCACTACCTCATACAATACCCTGTAAAAACAGTAATTTGCAGCACAGGCCTGTTTTTTCCATTTTCAAACTGTTCTATAGGGTCTTCTTGCTGGCAGCACGTACTCTCAGTGGGACAACAGCTTCCCAACAAACCCAGAGATACAATAAGTAAGTGGTAGCTATATATACCACCAGTCTTGAAAGGGGTAAAACAAACTGTCAAAACCAAGCTAATAAAAAAATTAAATAGATTCATTCTTCTTTTAGGTTACATTGTTTAAAAAGTTTTCTAAACGCAACTATACAATGATTTTATGGTTTCTTAAATTAACAAGTTTTGGAAATACTCTTGGCCATGGCTAGAGGGCGGGGGTAAAGAGGGTGGGCAGTTTATGAGGGGAAAGTGCCGAAGTCTTTGGGAATTAGCCCTTAAGCCTCTATCAAATTGTGTACCAATACTACGAGTTAGTCTATAGGGCTTAATACTATACAAGACTCAGTAGCTAACATGGTAGCAGCATGAATCTGTTTCCAAGTGGAAAGAATATCATTGGTGTGCTTACAGAATGCATTTCCCATGTTGAAGGCATAGCCAAGCTACCACAACTCTTTCTATGTTATTTTGAATGCTCAAAACGTCTAAAACCATTTGGATGTGTATTTGACATGTTTAGAGGAATCAAATCTTATAAATGCATAGAACCTTGAGAGGTCTTAGCAACATTTCCAAACTCCGACTCAGAACAGTTGAGAGATGAACAGATGAGGGAGATGCTATTTCTTTTTTCATTTCGCCACAGTACATTAGGTTGAACAAGGAAACTACAAGGTTCACTCTACATTTTACTTTATCATTTTACCTATGACATCAATCATTTTTATGGACCTATTAAACAGGCCTAGAAAGGGTTTCAGTAGTCATCTGGTGAAACCTGTTACCTTCTGGTAGCTGGTATTTGGTTCTTCTGTGTAGGTTAAATTTTATTGAACTCATACTGAAGAGCCGTATTCGAACCATGGATCAAACTGTTACGTGTGCATTCAACAAAAGCCCCCCCTCAAAAAAAAAAAAGTATGGTTATCATAAACATAAGTATAAATCTTGTCTTTGTTTTAATGAGGATTCATTATTTATCTATGAAATTTTCTTCCAAAGCAATTAATCTATTGGAGGTAAAATATCCAAATGAAGCAAAGGCCTGAAGAGTTAACGAAACTGCAGTTATGAACCATGTCATATGGAATTTGTAAGGTCACTATTGATGGGTCTAAGGCAAGTGAGATTACAGAAAACATAACATCACTGTTAGAATCAGATGTTATTATGAAGACCTGCAAGGACTTGAGACAGTAAGAGAAAGATTAAAGGACTAAGATCTGCTGATGTATCCATGGCTGAAAACAGCTATCAAAAGGCAGCAGGCATCTGGGAAACTTTCTTTATAGCTTGGAGGCCAGAACTATGTTGGCATTGCCTCTGGAATTGGAACAAAACCAATTTTTAATTGGTTTTAAAATCTGGAATGGAACATTCCTGTAGTCCTCCATGAACCGACCTTATCCTGTAGAAGTTGAGTGAATCCTGGCCAACCATCTGCCTTGTGAATTGTTTTGGTTACGCCTCTAAGGGACAGAAAGTACTTATTGTGCGGTAGCGTCACATCAGGCTGCAGTCCATAATGGTGCATGAGCAAGGAATTCAGAAAGAGAAAGAAACTCCAGGGTGTAAAATCAGATACGTTCGTTAATATGCCTTGGGGCTTGATGGGCTTGCAAGGCTGGGAATTTAGCACCTATATTCCTCCATACGTTAGCATAACAACTTCCAAAAAGAAATAAGGTCTATTCTTGGAGAAGAGAGGCGGCTAGAAAAATAGATTGCATTAATGAAGGCCAAACGTGATATTTTAAGATTGAATTAACTTAGATATTTCTCTTGATTCACTCCTGTAACTTCAGTGCCTCACTCACAGACAAATTTCCTTAAATTTTTGCTGAATACATGGCGACTCTTTTTAAGTATGCACACGGCGGAACTACTTCGGTGGCAGAGAATGTCTACAGAGACCACCAGTTGTTCCATCCCCAGGGCAGCATTCTGCCTACACAGAAAGGATGGAATAAAGGACTCTTTTTGACAGTGTCCAAGCCTGGGGAGACACTTTCTGCAAGTCCTCCTTAACGCACTCTTCCTCCACCATAGGAAACAGGGGAAAAGGAGGAAATAAAAGGTTTACTCGACATTTTCTGACTCTTAAAACAAAATGGAAAACCTGTTGTAGATTAAGAAGATAATCTAAACTACCTTGTAAATTATTAAACTCTCTATTCCAGCTTGGAAATAGTTGAAATAAGGAAGCTTTCACCAAGAACTTTCAGTGTTTGGGTTTGTATTGATGCCTAAGAGCTAAGAATGAAAAAGACCAAGAGGATCAAACTAGGCCGACTAATAATAATACTAATAGCTTATATACGGGGGTTTTCAATTTTATAATATACTTTTAAATATATTACTGAGTGATGCCAGGTCTTAACTCCAGAATGTTGTATGGCATTTTCATTAAGAAGTGTCATTTCAAGCTGCTAGCCAGGTGAATGGAGTCCCTTTGAAATCACAGCAGCTAGAGAAGTATAGAGGTGTGTTCTTTATTTGGGGGTTGCAGGTGGAGAGGACTCATATTTCAGAGTTCAGAACACTTAATCAGGTCTAAAGTTATCACTGGAGAAAATAAACCATACTCGTAATCACTCTTGAAGCATTCTAACTGATGTACTTTACCAGAACTAATGCACTGCTATCCATTGCAGCTGATCAAGAGTATAGCCTGGTGTCATATCATAGAGCAAAAAGGGATTTTTATACTCATTGTAATCAACACTTTCTTAATTCAGGGTAAAAATGAAGAACCATATATTTCAGTGTAACTTAGTTGATAAAAGTTGGTGCTCTCGAGCCAAAACACATGAGTTCAAACCCCAGCTCTGCCACTTACTACCTGTATAACTTCAGCAGCTTACTTCACTGCTCTTTGACTCAGTTTCTTCATCTGTAGAATGGGGATGATAAAAATACTTACCTCATAGTGTTGTGATGAGGATTAAATGCGTCAGCACTTTAAAACATGACTGCTTGGCCCATGTTAGTACTCAAGGAATGCTGACTTTCAATATTAATCAAACGTTGCAATACACGAAACAGATGAGAAAGATGTGCTACTTTAAATTTAGGCCTACCCTGGGATTTTGATACTCAAGCTTTGAAACTCACCTATAACACAGAAAGGCTTTCGGGCAAACCTCAATCTTCCTTGCCATCCTCTATACCGACAACAGCAACCCGCAGACCAGATTCGAATGATGAACTCCAAACCAAAGACGACAATCATCACAAACTCCTAAAATATCAAATAAAACATGTCAGAGAGAAGCATTATGGAGTAAACCACAGCAAGAAACTCTATGGATATTTCTGGAGATTTAGGCATTTCATTTAAAACATCTAGTTGTTAATGTCTTAAGTGAAGAACATCTTTTCTCCAAATCAAACTAAACCTGGAGAACATCTGAAACTCACATTGTCTGCATATCTATCGTGGAATGCTATTCCTTTTCGAGCCTCTAACATTGCACATTTAGGAGTCAGTTTCAATACTACAGAAGCAGGCCAAATAATTGATCTAGCTTGTCTGGCATATATGGTGTAGCTGACTTTAGCTGTCTGGTTACATGTGAAATACCTGAAGGGAAAGACTCAGCCCTGAAATAGAATGGCAAGTTTTACAAAAAACAGAGCTTCATTTTGCTGCAAGGAATGACATAATCCCTAAACCTTTAAGAGTTACTCTCAGAGAAGAAGATGTAATTATTTAGAAGTATACTGAGTTATTTTGTTATGGTGCCAAAATCTCCTTATGAAACAGCATGTTTCAAAAGCATTACAGGAAGTTCCCGGATTACAAATGAGTTCCTTTCCTAAATTTGTCTTGAAGTCGAATTTGTACGTAAATCGGGACAGGTAGGTATGGTTCTATCTAGACACCAAGTAGTCAAATGTTTATCTTAGTATATAGTACATAGTTTACCTTTCTATGCATAAAAACATTAAAGAAACACTTCCAGATACAATAAAACATCTTTAACATGATAATACAGTGATATTATTAATAATAATAATGTTTTGATGTATGTCACAAAGTAGTGCCCGTTTGTTATTACAAAATGTTGTATGCGTACCTTAAAATTTTAATATTATAGGCTTTATGGAGGCTGGATCATAACTACTGGTCTGATGTCTGTAACCTGGGGATTGCCTGTATTGTGCAAGAATTGTGTATTCCTTGCAAGAAATAAGACCCTGAATTCTCCAGATCTGAAGCTTGTTAATTATTATGCTGCCCTTTGGCAAGAGCTGCCTAGAAAACACCACCTGCTCTAGTAAATTGATTTTGAGATTATTTAGGAAGAGTTGCGAGTTAACCCTGGGGAAAGGCCAGCTAAAGTGGTTCATTAAGCAGTCAGTCATAGAATGAAAAACCAAATGGAATTTGTAAGAGGAAAGCATCCTGGAGACAGATACTGAGTTTATCAAAATTGGCTTTCCTTTTAAAAATAATTCCCTCAACTGTTTTTAAAGAAGGGTTGGCTCAACATTTATAAGGCAAGACAATATCCATTAAGTGATTTTTATTATAATTGTTTAATTACAAAAGCAATATGTGGTCTTTACTAAAACAGTCAAACGCCACAAAATAGAGGGTGTAGAAAGTAAAGGTCTTAATCCACTCTCCACTCTCCCACCCCAAGCCCCGAGATAAAAACTGTCAACAAATTTAGAAAACGGCCTTTTTGTTGCAAGTTTCTGGCAAATGTCTGTTTCTTTAGTTAGAGCATGTGATGATATACTGCACTTTTGAAATGTCTAGTAGAGATATGTCATTCTACCCTTGTTTTATTTAGCCCTATTTCATGATGAGAAACAAATCTCCAATATTGTCATTGCTTACTTACAGTGACTTAAAGTTACTTATGGGATAAATCTCTGAAGATGACTTTCTTTATGGGATAAATCTCTGAAGATGACTTTATGCACAGACGACCAAAACTATGGCCAATACACACCATTATTGATATGACGGTTTTGTTTTGGTCTTGAGAGTATATTTAGGTAGTTGATTCTATTAATTCATTAAAATGTCTGAAAGGCCAGCTCACCTGTTTTTAATCCACACATCTTTCCACATATACAAAGCATGCTGAGGCCCGATATGCCTTTATGTTTAGTCCTGTCATGATGGCATTGACTGTGACTGTGCCCCAATCTAGGTTTAATGGCAGCGCCAGTTTTTGGTGCATGTCCCTAACTCCTACTTACGCCAGTAAGTTTGGCTCTCCAGGGGTGAGAGTTCATGCCAGGACGAATATCCAAGGAAATCCCAAATGTGGCATGAGTGCCCAGGCACCTCCGTATAATGATTTTCCCTTTTCATGGGAACAGATGGCACTAATTGATGGATGACCATTAAAACCAAAAACCAAACCCGTTGCTGTCAAGTTGAACCCGACTCATACAGACTCTATATGACAGAGTAGAACTGTCCCATAGGGTTGTCAAGGCTGTAATCTTTCCAGAAGCAGATTGCCACATCTTTCTCCCATGAAGCAGCTGGTGGATTTGGACCTCCGATCTTATGGTTAGTAGCCGAGCACTTAACCACTGCACCATCAGGGCTGCTTGGATGACCATTATGCAGCATAAATGACATCTACAGATTCTTTTCTTAAAGGCCCCTGGTTCAGGAATATTGCTTGTTGTCTTTTTATATATTTATAGTTTAGAAAAAAAGTTTTATTCATTTCTTAATAAAGCAACAGGAAGTCATAATTGGATTCATTTATGCCTTCATGAAAGTAATACTAGGGTCAGAATACCCCTCTTCTTATTAGACTAATACTATTCCCTGTGCCATGGTGTTTTCAATCGCCTCATATGCGTGAATAAATAAGGAAGACCAAAGAAGAATTGACACCTTTGAATTATGGTATTGGTGAGGAATACTGACTATACCGTGGACTGCCAAAAGAATGAACAAATCTGTCTTGGAAGAAGTATCGCCAGAATGTTCCTTAGGAGGATGATAAGACTTCGTCTCAAGTACTTTGGACATGTTATCAGCAGAGACCAGTCCCCTAAGAAGGGCACCATGCTTGGTAAAGTACAGGGTCAGCAAACAAGAGGAAGAACCTCAACGAGATGGATTGACACAGTGGCTGCAACAATGGGCTCAAGCATAACAATGATTATGAGGATGGCGCAAGACTGGGTAGTGTTTCATTCTATTGCATGTGGGGTTGCTATGAGTCTCGATGGCACCTAACAACAACACTTAGTATTCCCTATTAGGGCTTGGTTCTAGATGGTGTGAAAAATAACCTAAAAAAACTCCTAACTCTGAGTGAGCAGCAATGAGATGAGAACTTGGTAGATGATCGTTGAGAGTTCCCTTCAAGTTCAGAACCGCAGACCATGGAGATGTTGTCTCTGTAGGGCTTGGGCTTGGCATTTATGTTGTGGGGAAAAAATTTTGGCTAGATTTTGTCTTAGTTTCTGAAATTTATATCTTATTTCAATTAAAAAAACAAAACAAAACAAAAAAGACAAAAAATCCCAAAAAACAAAGTGCTATTGGGCTATAAAAGAGAAAGTGTCCTTAATTTGACAGGCTTTAGAACAGGTGGGGAAAAATATAACTTTTTTCCAATTTTCCTTTTTACTGCTTTGAGTTTACTCTTATGTGGCCTTTAAGAAAGGTGCCCAGGGTCCAGGATTTCCTGTGGATGCCCCTAATTTTCTCACAAACCCTCATGTAAACATTCAGCAAACATGTATTATGGTCTGTTACGTGGCAAGTGCATGTGCAAACATTCCTCATAGGCCTTATGGGCTTTAGGGTAAGAAAACATGTCAGCCTTGTTTCACTCTATATCCCCAGTGTCTGGCACACAGTAGACTCTCAGAAAATACCTGGGAGTAAATGTGGAATAAAAAAGTCTTTGCCATTCAATTTAAAAGTACAGGGGTAGAAAAAGATATACCATGCAAACATTAATTTAAGAAAAAAAAGCAGAATTGGCTATAAAGTATACTGGCTACTTTACTGGCTATGTGTAGTATTGGTTGATAAAGTCAACTTTAGAGCAAAGAAAATTATGCAAGACAGAGAGGGACATTACATAATGATAAATGACTCAATCTACCAAGAAGACATAATTATCCAAAATGTGTATGTACCAAATAACAGAGCCTCAAAATATGTGAGCAAAAACTGATAGAGCTGAAAGGAGAAACAGACAAATCTGGAATTACAGTTGGAGACTTCATCACCTCCTTCTCAGCAACTGACAGAACTGCTAGAATGATCTGGATGACACAATCGATCAACAACAGAATACAGACTGCTTTCAACTGTCCATGTAACATGCACCAAGATAAACCATATCCTGGGCTATCAAACAAAACTCAGCAAATTTAAGAGAATGAAATCATACAGAGTGTGTTCTGAAATCACAATGGGATCAAACCAGAAACCAGTTAACAGAAAGATAACAAGCTAATCTATAAACACATGGAAACTAAACAACATACCTGTAAATAATTCATGGGCCAAAGAAGAAGTCTTAAAGGGAATAAAAAATACATAGAACTGAATGAAAATGAAAATAAAACATATCAAAATATGTGGGATGCAGCTTGAGCAATGCTGAGAGGAAAACTTGGAGCACTAAATGCTTATATTAGAAATGAGGAAAGGTATCAAGCCAACAACTGAAGTTCCTACCTCAAGAAACTAGAATAAAGAAGAATAAAATAAACTCAAAGAAAGCAGAAAGAAAGAAATAATTCAGAAAAAATCACAAATCAATGAAATTAAAAATAGGAAAATAAAGAAAATCAACGAAACATAAAGATGGCTATTTAAAAAAAAATCAATAAAACTGATAAGCCTCTAGCAAGGTTGACAAAAATAAAAAGAAAAGACAAAAATCACCAATATCAGAAATGAAAAATGGAATATCACTACAGATCCTGCAGACATTAAAAAGATAACAAGGTAATACTGAATAATTTTATACCCATAAATTTGACAATTTAGAAGAAATAAGCCAATTCCTCAAAAAAAAAAAAAAAACCTACCAAATCTCAACCAAGAAGAAATAGATAATCTGAATAACCCTATGTCTGATTTATCTAGTGCTGCTATAACAGAAATACCACAAGTGGATGGCTTTAGCAAAGAGAAATTTATTCTCTCACAGTCTAGGAGACTAGAAGTCTAAATTCAGGGTGTCAGCTCCAGGGGAAGCCTTTCTCTCTCTCTCTGTTGGCTCTTGGGGAAGG